CAGAGTATAGCTTTCCAGCTATAAAATAAATTGAAGAGTTCGCTGCAGCATATCAACACTTCAAAAGTCTAAGGTAAACTTCCACCAATACCTTCCTTTTAGACCGTGTAATTAGAAAGTGAACTTTGCATTATACAACTAGCTTAGCTGATAATAAAATTTTGCTAGTACAAAACATTTGCTGAAAGAGTTGAACTATTTTCATCGAACTATTTTTTTGTGTTCGCTGTGGAAGTTTCTCATTAAAAACTAAAGCACGCATAGGAAAGGACAATAGACATATCTGAGTGCATGTGTTTTGCGTGTGCGTGTGTGTGTGTTTATATGTGTGCCTGATTGGAATGCAATTAAAATGCCTGTCATTGAGGTGGCATGCATCAAGTGAAAGAGCACGACACACACACGGCCTTGGTAAGTTCTGTGCGAGAGCAGGAGTCGGCGAGCCGAGGTGGCGGGGAGCCTTATGAATATTAGAAGTGCTTTTCACACCTATAACAAGCAGACACACACTCTGTTTTCTTTTCTTTTTTTTTGCTTCTTCTCTAATATTTTGTTGTTGTTTGTGCACGCATGACGCCTGCAAATAAAACAGAAATTACAGCTCATTAGAAAAATGAAACAAAAATGTAAATAAAAAGGGCAAAAGAGAAGAAGCAAACTTGCTGCAGGGCAGCAGCAGAAAATGGCAGCAGGAGCAGTAAAAACAAACAGCAGGCGAGCGTAAAAAGGATTCAACAACAGGATATGCCAAGGCAGACGACGAGTGAAAAATGTAAATAAAATATTGCACAATGTATGAGGAGGGCCGAGCGGGCGGCTGGGCATGGGTACTGTGGGTGGCTGGCAGCCACTTGAGCACGTTGTCAAGGGTGTCAGGGTGTTGGCTGGCTGTCTGTCTGTCTGTCTGCCGACAGCAATAGCAACAGCAGCAGCAGCAGCAGCAGCAGGAGCAGCAGCAACAACAACAGCAGTCGGGACACATTATGCGTCGTTTAAATAGCCATAAATCTTGCATAAAAACGCGCCCCCAGAGAGAGAGAGAGAGAGAGAGACAGAGAGCGACAGCAAACTTGACTGCAACTTTAATATGAAAATCTGTTTGGGCAGGACTAACGATGACAACGCCCCGAACGTCCGGCACCATATTTGCAACGCTAATTTAGCAGCAAGTCTGCAGATTGTGCCGTGGATCAGGGCCAGGCGAGAGCTGACAAGTCAGAAGGCCAACGGGCGGGCGAGCGGACGAGCGGGCCACCGAGCTAACGGGCCATCAGGCGCCATTAAAAACTTGCTAGAAAATTAACTTGACCAGGACGCAGGATGTCAAATTGAATTTGCCAAGGACCTCAAGGCGCTGCGCCATCAATATGAACTCAAAGGGATCAGCGTTAAATGTTGCACGCAACGCCAACGCCATCCATCTTACTTAATGTCAACTGCAGCTTCGACTTCCTTCCTTCCCTCCCTCCATACAGCAGCCAATGCGCCCAGTGGCTCATTATGCGACGACAAAGCAACTATTACTACATATACCATATATATATGTATAAATATATATACTATTAAAAGCCCGCAGCAGCAGGACTTTCACGCTTTTATGATTTGCTAACGACATGAGTTTCAGAGCGTTGGCTGCTGTTTAAAAATCAATTTCGCTGCTGCTGGCAGCCCTTGCAGCGTTGCAGGCACGCCCCCTTTTTGGGCGCATGCCGCCCTCGGCGATGTCATCTTCTGTTTATATTCTTGTCATGTCACTGCTGGCTGCAACAACGCCTCCTACCTCAAATCGCAGCCACATCAGCAGCAGCAGGAGTCGGAGCAGCAGCAGCAACACAACAAAAGCCAATAGCCGTCAACATGACGTTACGGGTCGCTCAGCTTCACGCCCCAGCTAGCGTTAGTACCTGGTCCACTTTACCCTGCAGCCGTTGCCGTTGCCGTTGTCCTTCCCCTCGCGCCCATCCCTGGCATATTCTAGCCAAGCCGCCTGCTGGCATGCGTCAGGTGTGCCATTTTAATAAATTATGCATCCTGCTAAATGCTTAAACAATTGAATTTTATATTTACATAATATGTAATATGCTGTGACATCATTATGCAAAGGAGGCGTGGCGCCTGGCCGACTGAGAAGCAGAAGGAGGGCAACGCCAAGGCGAACGCTTGATTGAATTATGTTTCCTGCTGAGTGGCATCCAAAATATGACGCAAAGTGTACCCAGAGCAGAAAGGGTGCGACTAAGAACGAGAGAGAGAGAGAGTGCGAGAGAGAGGGAGGGGAAGTAAGGCTCTGCGTCGGTATTCATTACAGTGTTAACTCTTTACAGTCTTTAAATTATATACTAAATGTAATTAAGCGGAGTTCCACAGCACAAATTAATCATTGTGAACACTGCGAAGATTGTGAGCTTCAACTTTCGGCAGTTACTTAAGGAAAGTAAAAATCTGTTAAGCTTTTGCCAACTACAAGGAGTTAGAGCAAAGCTTAGAATTATATATTATAGTATGTATATGTTTAGGACTTAGACTTAAGCCTAACTGTTTGATGTTTAGTTTTTGAATGAAAGAAATTGCACAGATGCTGCTGCTATGATAGAATTTCATAATCATATCAACGAATCAATCATGATGATGTTTCGCTTTTAGAACATCTTATGAATCTTAATTGACTCTCTGACATTAAAGAACATGATTTCACAGGCAATGACATTAAAGTATCATCAACAAAAATGAATCGGAATAAAATTTGTCTGTCTTTATTATATTGACGTTTCTTTCCGTATCGCTCTTATGTGGTCAGCCTATATATAAATTCTATAACTACCCAGCCTATTCGACATATAAGCCAACTTATTTTTAAGCATAGCTCAAGGCGTGTGCACAACTCAGTGACACATAAGCTCTTAGCATACTCCATTTGAAAATTACCTTTAATTAATTTAATTATTTTTGTCACCCCCTAAGTTAATCACAAATCAATTAACGCCTTTGGCAGCTGAAACCCCATCAAATTGGCACAAAAAGCAGTTAAAATTTGAGCCGAGCATTAGCCGAGCCACAAATTGAACTAAACAAAATGATTTATGGCGGATTAAGGCGAATCTAATCACGGCACGACATGCGGCTGAGCCAATATTACGTATACGCCGCATTACGTATACGCCGCATGGTTGGGCACGTAAAGGCGCGCAAGTGACAGAGCGAGCAGCAACTAGCTGATTGACTAAAATGATTGAATGACTGACTGAGTGCACGACTAACTGGCTGACTGACTATCAGCGGCAGCACATTTATGGGCAAAGACTTAATTACAACAAAGCGCCACGTGACTGCCACATGTGCGTGTACAAGTGTGTGGGTGGCTGGATGTGTGGACGCGGGTGGGAGGCCAAGCAGGGCAGCCGTTTGGGCGGCGTGCGTTGGGTTCGACGTCTAATCAAAACTTTTATTTGCATGAAATTAAATTCAAGCAATTGCACTTAATTTGCCAAACAGCCCGAACAGGCGGCGGGCGATGGTAAATAAACAGGACGAGCGCCCAAAATACACACACATACAGCCATATATAAAAGAAAAGATTTACGCAGTCGAGAGCGAGCGAGAAAAAAAAAGTGAAATTAAAAAGCAAGCAAGCGTAGGAACGGGAGGGGGATGCGGGTGCGGGTGCGGATGTATGGCCAAAGAGAAAGGCGAAAGCGAATGAAGAAAAATTATGAGCACGCTGGAGAAATCTAAGATGCTCGCAGTAGCTGGGCGTGGCCGCCAGCGCCAGCCTTTTGAAGTAGGCGCACACACACACAGAGACAGAGACAGAGACACACGCCTAAGCATACACACACTCCAGACGCCCATAAATAAAGTATTTGATGTGCATGAAGTTAATGTCTTATTATACCCAAGTTGTCAAAAACAAGCAGAGTACCCCAAGCACCCCAACCAGCTGAAAGCAGCCAAAGTAGTTAAACGCTGCCTGTTAAAGTCTGTTTAATGTGTGTGTGTGCGTGCGTGTGTGTCTGTAGGCGTGGATTTTATTAACTTGAGCTGAAGACGCGATGTGCCTGGGCTCTGATTTGCCTAAAGAGCAGCCAGAGCAGCCAGAGCAGCCAGCGCAGCCTGCTTAATGATAACAAACTCAACACAAGTGATAACGCGTCAAATTACCAAAGGCGCACAAGTGTGCGTGTGTGTGCGTGTGTGTGTGTGAAAGCATATGCATGTGTATATCTGGTTTGTGGTGTGCAGCGGGCGTGGTTTGGTTAGCCACCCAGTGCCGTCGCGGGTGTTGTAAATACAATCAATGAATTTCAACTGGTTGTCTTGGCTTTGCATAACCCGAACCTTGTCTCCACACAAGCACACACACTCACACATACCTTAAGCATTGTGTGTGCGTGTGTGTGTGAAAACGAAATTAGGCAAATTTAATGAATTTATGCTGGTGGCGTCTCCTTTGTAATCCGAGTGCGCGCGCAGCAAAGTAAGTGACCTGCTTCCTTGTCTTTTAAGTGGCTTCACTTCTGTGCCTGAGCCGGTTACCAGGAAATAGAATGTGAGAACGCTCTCGCTCTCTATCGCTCCTCCTCTATCTGCCTCCCTCTCGCTTTGTTTGTGTGTGCACTGAGTTTAGTGGACTAGCAGCAATTTGCTAACATTCGTTGGGCTATAAATGAGCTAGGGTGCTCCAAGTGTGTGAATGCGGCTGGTTAATGCCGCTCGGGGAGGTATTAACTGGAATAACATTTGTGGTCATAAGGATACGGCCCTTAAGCATGTCAATATATGATTTTACGACTACAAGTACGAGCAGCTTCATACAATTCTAATTTATGGCTTACTCCATTCTCATTTAACTTTTTATGAAATGAGTATTTCGTAAATCGAATTCGAATAAAGAAAATATTTTAAAATGTGCAGGGAAACGTTTATCCTAAACCTAGAAATGAAGTAGATATAAGGAAGATTTCAAGAAAAAATTTCCATAACTGATCATGCGATATAATACATACTACATAAGCAAAAGGAAATTTTAAATAGACATTCATAATTTTTTATTGCTGAAGATTCTGCGGAACCAAAGACAACACATCGATTTAAACAGTTCCTCGAGTTTGGCGACGTAAGCTGATTCTAGTCACCATTTTATCGAGTCTCCGGATGCGCAGCAGAGTTGTGGGTCTATAGCGATACCACATGAGATACCAATCGTCCATATAGGGATACGTTGGACTGTCACCAAACAGTTTGACCAGAGCATCGACATACGGTGCGCCGTAACCCAATTTCCAAACCTTTAGATCGGCCTCGTACTCCAGGTAGCGCAGTACGTAGAATATTATCCAATTGGTTATCGTCAGATACAGGGGCATCACATACTTGTATACCAGCCAATAGCCGACGATAGGTGGATAGAACTTGGACTGAAATCCTGCCGCCTCATAGAGTACATCCTGCCGGTAGACGGTGCCGAATAACAGAAAATATATCAGCAGTGTGACATGGATGATGGCAAATGCTTTCAGAACGTCTTGGCTACGCCAATGGAATAATTCGTGGGCAATATACGCCTCGAGCTGATTGTCCTCCAAGCCCTTGCCGACGTCCTCCTCTTGCAGTTGGGCCACTGGCTTGCCATGGTTCAATAACAGTGACTCCATAATGAACACTCGCCTGTAGCAGTAGCAGCCCCAGGCATAGGCCGTTGGAGACATATTCTGAAAGGTTCTTAAAATGTAAATATGTTCTGGCTTGAATCCAAACTTCTGTAAAATATCCTGCAAGACATTTTTCAGATTTTCATCCACGGGCGCCTTGACCTTCGCGCCCAGGCATGGCAGGCCAAACAAACAGAACGAAAGTATTGCTATGCTCGATATAAGGATAAGAACACCCCATATCCAGAGCAGGAAGAAACGTGAACTAGTGGTTTCAATTACCAAGAAGATGGCTGTCAGCGGAACCAGACCCACCTGCAGCAGGACGACCAGCAATGTGAATGAGCACAGCAAGCCCACCAGAGGCAGCGACTTCTCCCGTTGGGGATCGTAGAAGGGTGTCAGGAACATTCGGCTGTAAAAGATTTGCGGCAAGGTTCGTATGACCATATAGGTGCTGAACAACGCGACAAATGCTATGCTCTGCCATATCAGATCGTCCACAATGCTGTAAATCTTCATGACCAGGCGCCAAAGCATTGGAAAGACGGACAGGTACAGTTCGATGCAACTCAGTATGGCATCGAAGATGTATGCTACCATCATGTTCTCCACAGCATGCATCTCCTCGTTTTTGGCCGTTTTGAACTGCTCCTTTGACATGACCCCTTGCAGCTCTGGCGGTGGTTCAATACGGATGGTGCATTTGCGTATTTGACGCCAGCACAGATAAAAGTGGAATAGGTTGCGTAGAGTGATCATCGTTGCGAGGACGTGCCGCAGCAGGGCCGGATCCTTCAAGCTCCAGGACTCGGGAGTCAATCGATTTCCTATCCCATTTGCCGGTATAACCATCGGCTGGCTTTGCATTGGATCCTGGTACAGAGCGTACGACATGATCACAAATTTTACTTTTGACCATCGAACGACTGAATTTTCCCAAAAAGTTTATTACACTTGCTTCATCAATTTGACAATTTATAGAAATGTATTCAAAATTGTTTTCAGATCGTGTGATATGAGTTTGGAAGGATTTAAAAACAAGTTCGTATTAAAAATATTCTCTTCAAAGCAATCCCCCTGTGTATAAACACAGATTTCTTCCAATCCTCGAAGCAATCCACGAATTCGTATATTTCTTTCTTCTTTGTAGTAGCTCTCATCACATACATACATCTTGTAAATCACTCCAAACTGTTTTGGACAGATACATAAATATCCAACTAATGTCTTCAATGTTCGACCCGGAAACATTTTCGCCACACCTCGCTCACTTAAACTTATTCCATTTGTTGTTCAATAAGGCCCAACCCACCTTTAGGCCCGTTGCCTATCCACCCACCCACATTATCAGCCAACGCCCGAAAAGGAAACTTGTCATAAGAATTTTGAGCGACAGGCGATAAATTCCAAAATATCCCCCCATCTTCGACCCACTCCCACTCCATCCTGTCGCAAGTGGCTTCATTGCGTCTAAATGTGGTGTCAGACATGGCTGTCGCTGTCCAGCATCGCAAGTCGGCACAAGTTCCTTATCTGGCCAATGGACCTTCCCAGACCCCACCACTTCGGCTGACAGTTTCTCAATGCTATTACACTTAATGATGATGCCGACTTTTCCCTTAAGTTGCGGAATTTTCCTTTAAACGTTAATTGAAAATTGCGGCCGTAAGTAGGTTTACACATATTTATTTTCCAAAATAACATTAAATTGAATGGGAGAAATACTCTCCTTGTACATACACTGCGTAATTCTTTCCTTATCTCTTTTATTTGTATTATGTGTAATTCATTTTAGTTGTTGGTTGTGCCATAAAAGGTATCCAAAAGTAAGTTTAAGAATAGGAGCCACTTGCTCCGTGTCATCATCATCATATTCATCAAAAGGGGGGGAACGACGGGAATGATCCTTAGCTCTCGTTCTTTGCCTTACACACGACGCGCTTCGTTTTAGTATTAGTTTTTCGTTTTGTTTAATAAGTGATATATTGAATTAAATTAAAAGTTTTTATCACATATTTTAAAAAATGGTTTTGCAATTTCGTAAATAGTGTTCTTGTGTGGGGCTGAAGCGTCAAATAATTTACAAGTTGCTAACATAAAATGCTATGTTGTGATTTGCTGTTGTGGTTATGAGTTACATGAATACACAAACATCTAACCCCTCTACGCCGTGGGTTATCCGCTGTTTTTCCACAAAATCTAATAAGAATTGAGGGGGGAGTTGTACGAAAACTTAATTTGTAGCTATTACTTAAATTAAACTTAAGTTCTAGGGGCTACTGCTTCTCATTTGCTATTCAAATCAACTGATGCTAAATATTAGTTAGTTGCTGTATTTAGCTTAATCGAAGCGCGTGTGTCGGCCTCCGCCGTCGCCGCCGTTCCTGTTGCCAAAGCCTCCGTCACCGCCACCACCGCCGCCAAAGCCGCGACCATTGCTAATGCTGCCCTTCTTGAATCCGCCACCTCCAAATCGGCCGCCGCCGCCACCGCCGCCATAACGGGAGCGTCCGCCGCCACCGTCGTAACGCGAGTTGCGGGCCATGTTCTCTAGAGCGGGATTTATTTCCTGCAAGCGAACGCAAATATTAATTTACATATTTCTATACTTAAAATGTCAATATAAATACGTACTTGATTAGCTTCTCTCAGCACATCGACTAACGCCTTGGCCTGTTTGGCATTGTTTTTCGTAAAGAAGGCAAAGGACGTGCCCTTGGTATTGGAGCGTCCTGTGCGTCCAATACGATGAATATAATCCTCACTGTTTTGTGGATAGTCAAAGTTGATGACATATTTGATGCCATCGACGTCTGTATTTGCGTATATTATATGTGAGAAATAGATGAATGCATATATAGAGATTAGTATTTATAGGACATTGAGTAGTCAACTTCAAGGTTTATCTTAAAAACAGTTTTTCAAATTGCCAAATGGATTTTTCTCTTTGCTCTGTGCAACAACAATTTTTAGCGTTTTTCGAGACGTTTTACACTTTGAATACACTTGTCTTTTTTAATTCGCTTTTCGAGTAAATGTTTTTTGGGTATATTTTCTGTTTGTTTTAAGTTTTCATTTGAGTTTAACTTTTATTTTTCTTTTTTTGTTTTTTTTTTAGGTATTTTTTGTATACGAAAAAAGAAAATGTTTCAAAATGTACGTTACCTTCTTGGTGCTACAAATTGTTTCATTCAATTTTCTCTCAATCAAAATCTCAAAGTTCTGTGGCGCTGCGCAGCTCGTGGTCCAAACTCTCTCCAAGCACACAAAAATTAATGGTCGCATGGCAAAGCGAGCGGCGAGAGTTTGTTGCAATGAGCCGCGTGCACCTCATCTGACTCGACACGACTTAGACTTGGGGGGTCGGGCTGGCGAGCGAGTGTGCCAGGCCAACCGGCAACCGGCAGCCGCATCCTTCTCCTCCATATTTATAGAAGAGAGGCGCGTCTGTGTATATATATATATATCTATTCAGTTATACAGTTTTTATGTCGACCAGGGAGAACGTTTTAACAAGCGCCGGTGTCCAGGATCCGTTGCCACCCACTAGACGACGGGCAATGGCGGCGCAGGCAGACAGGTAGGCTGGCAGTGGGCGTGGCGACCCATTTGGTAGCTAGGCACTCAGCAGCAGCAGCAGCAGCAGCGGCAGTAGCGACGATCGAAACGGCGAACAAGCGACGATCACACAGCTCTCCATAACGGCTGATCTCGAAGTGCGACTCGCACTTCTTCGTCCATACATATCCACAGCGTGCTCTCTGATGTTTGGTAGAGTGGAGTGGAGAGGCAATGTGTGTGGGTCTCGTGTGTTCGTGTGTGTCTGTGCAAATGTGTGCGCCGCGCATGGTGCATCGTCCTCTTTTCGGGGCTGAGTCTATGGTATATTCATTCTGTGTTGCTGTCGCTGCCTGGCTGATGTTTGTGGTGTGTGCTTAGCAACCGGCCAGCCGACGACATCAGCGCCCCTCAAGATGTTTTGCCTGCTTTGTAGCGCCGCCTTCTCATATACTTTAATTATTACATTTTTGTATTTTTTTGGTGACAACAAGATGTGCCCCTTGACCGTTTGCTTGTTGATTTGGTTCGTTCTTGGTTTGATTTGATTGATTGATTGGTTGGTTGGTTGTTAGGTTGGCTCAACGCTCTTTCTCGAGGAGAGGACTGCAGAGGCCACGTATGATGCATGATGTTGGGGATATATGAATGCCGGTCTCGTATGCGAATGCGTTTACGTTGATCGCACGTCCGTGTAGCAGCCAAGCGAACACGACTCGATCAGGTGAACTTTATCTGTTACCACCTTTTGCTCATTGTTTAAACCAAAAAACTTGTCAAATTCAGTTTTTGATGAACAAAAAGTCGCTCGCTCATGTTACGAGAACTGGTCTTGGGACTTGCCGCTTGTCCTTTATCCTCCCCATCATACTACAATAAACGGCCTCTGTAAACGAGAAAGAAGGAAGAGAGAGAAAGAGACAAAGAAAGAGAGAGGCAGAGAGAGACATGCACACAGACATTGTGTGTGCATAGCACAAGGCACGTATTAACCATTCACATAGTCGAGGGTTGGCACCAAAACAGAGCCGAGGGACGGGTGCAGGGGTTGGGTCGGGGCGGGTATGGTGGCGGGGGTGAGGAATAAAAATTTATGTTGATTATTAAAGTTTTGGCTTTGTTTGGGGCTTACGACTAAAAACTGTTGGTATTTATATAAATATATTTAAAAACAAACAAAAAATCTGATTTCGCGTACGCTAATTTGTTCTTGTCTTCAAGTCTAAATGCAGTTGATGAGGGGGCAGGTATTTTCAAGTTGCTTGGATAGGCAATATCTAGTGAAGGCTACAGTGAAAGCTCAATTGACGAAAGGCTAAATACGAATCCGTTTTATTTTTCCCGTTTAAGAAAAAACAACTTTATTACATTCTAAGCTAAATCCGTTAAAGCGAGCTTTCACTGTGCGAATGTTTTACGTGCGTGTTAAGCAATTGTGTAATCGTGTTCGAGTGTGTGAGTATGTGTATCTTTTGGCAGCCGGCGGATACTCTACTAATTATGTAATTCTATCATGCTTTGCTAAAGACTTACCCAAGCCACGGGCCGCCACATCAGTGGCCACCAGAATGTTGGACTTGCCCGAGCGGAACTCGCGCAGAACAAAGTCACGCTCCGACTGCGACTTGTCGCCGTGGATAGCGCCGCAGCGCACTCCAAAGCTGCGTATGAAACGCACCAGATTATCCACACGACGCTTGGTCTCCACAAAGATAATTATCTTGCCGGGGTTCTCGCTGGTGTCATATATGTCGGACAGTAGGCTCTTGAGTCTATTATAAAATATAAAAGGAAATGAGTATAAGACTAAGATTGAGGTTGAAATGTTTGGCTTACTTGTCTTCCTTGCTGAATTCGTCGCATACATCTACCACTTGGCGAATGTTGTGGTTGGCCGAGAGCTCCAGGGAACCAATATTGATTTGTATGTAGTTGCCGAGGAAGTCTTCTGCCAACTGTTTCACCTCTTTGGGCCAGGTGGCGCTCCACATGAGCGTTTGCCGGTCGGGACGAATCTGTGAGACAATTTTGCGAATCTGGGGCTCGAAGCCCATGTCCAACATGCGATCGGCTTCGTCAAGCACCAAGTAGGTGCAACGCTTCAGATTGGTAGCGCCCGCCGAGAGGAAATCAATGAGACGGCCGGGCGTAGCAATAACGATCTCACAACCACGCTGGAGATCACGCATTTGCCCTCCCTTCGGTGCGCCGCCAAAGACGCATGTGTTGCGCACGTAGGAGGACGAACCGAACTCGGTGGCCACCTGCTGAATCTGTTGAGCCAGCTCACGGGTAGGCGCCAGCACCAAGGCAATGGGACCATCACCGCGCTGCAGTGGCTGCTGGTTGTTGATGTGTACAATGGCTGGTAGAATGTAGCCGAGCGTCTTGCCCGAGCCTGTCTTGGCAATGCCGACAAAGTTGGCGCCGCTCATCGCAATCGGCCAGCCCTGGGCCTGAATTGGCGTGGGCGCTTTGTAGCCCTGGCGGCGAATCTCTTTCAAAACATAGTCGGGCAAATAGGCCTCCGAGAAGTCCTGTATGGGGTTGGCTGCCTGACCGCGCACTGTGATCTCTTGCTCGTCGCGATATCGCTGCACCTCATAGGGCGACCGATTGGCCACCGTGGGATGCTCCTGGTAGAAGTTCTTCTTGAACGGTGTCAAATTGGAGAAGTCCACTGGGCGCATGGGCAAGTCTTGGCTGCCGCCACCGCGACGATCACCGCCGAAGCCGCCGCCTCCACCTCCGCCGCCAAAACGCGATCCGCCGCCTCTATCATCACGACGCTTCTCAATGCGACCATTGCGCACGCCGTGATAGTCGCCACCGCCACCACCAAAACGTGATCCACCGCCGCCACCACGTCGGTCCTCATCGCGGTCGCGTCCACCACGTGGTCCGGATCCAAAATCGCGATCGTGAGGTGCCCTATTGAACGAAAGAGTCATTGTGTTAAAATGTATAAAGTTATTGAATTTAAAATGCTAAGCACACAATTAATTTAATTGGACAACTTAAAATTTGAGCAATTCGTAACCTATTTTTGTATTTTTGGAAATTTGTTCGAATGTATTCATATTTATTTATCTTTAAAATTTAAATTCAGTATTTTCTGTTTTAAACGAGTGTAAAGTGTCATTTAAGATGAATTGTCATTGCGGCTCACTTTGATCGCATGCTGTTCGCTCGCTGTCCGATTTGTGACTGGCTGGCAACGCTAACAATTTGACAGATTTGACGTGAGAGCGCACGAGTGAGACAGCAATACAACCGCAATAAACTTAAATAAAACTAATTGCGTGTTAAGGAAATTAAATAAATTTCGTATAAAATGCAAACAGTAAGGCAAAATTGATTGACGACAACATGCAATTCCAACATATCTAAGAGACAGACACAAACACATAATACATACATACAAGCACACATACATGTGTGTGCATAACTACAAACGATCGCCCTTCAATTGCTCAACTAAACTACTCGGCACCTGGCAGCGGCAGCCAAAACACAAATGTTACAGTTCTGACATTAATCAATTATACACACACAGACACATGTTTAACATATCGGTTTATTCGTTAGTAATGTGCAGCCCATAAAATATCTTGCCCCCCTTCCCTTTTGCACACAACCAAATGTCTGTCAATTTGGGCCGCTCCGCCCTTTGCTTTTTCTAGGCACGCTAACTTGGCCAACTGACAGAAAAGAACGCTGAACGTTTATTAGACAGCAAATGTCTTGCCTAGCCCCCTCCTCTCATTCGCTCTTTCACATCGTCTTGCGCTCTACCTGTCGCGCTTTGACATGCAAAAAGCCAAATCGTGCACGCAGACAGTCGAGCGGGTGGGCGAGCCGAAGAACAGACTCTCATAATCAATTGGCGTCATTTGACATTTTAAACTAACAAACTGGTAAGGGAAGACAGAGACGGCAGATATACCTAGGCAGTGGTATCAGTTTTGACAGACGACGAGAAAAAAAAAAAAATTCATGAGCACGCAAACTGTACTACGACTGTTATACACCAGCAAAACACGCGAATAATACCGCCAATGCTTACACAAACACAATCACACACACACACACACACTTAACCACGCTGTGTCTGCGTGCTCGTGTTTGTGTTTAGGGCATACAGACAAATTAAAATGCTATAAAAAAGCAAACGAAGTAAAGACACGTTTCACAAATCAAGCCAATTCTTTTTATGACGTACACTGACGTTTCCCCCTCTTCTATTTTTTTGTGGTTTGCTCTCATTATTTATTAGTTGTTGCTTATGGGTAAAAAAAAATATAGTAATATTAAGAAAAAAATATCTGACTGCCTCTTGCAGTTTGCTTTCTCTTCGTCATTTGTAACTCTCCATTAATTACTCATCGTTGAGTTTCGACGTATACAGACTTTTACGAACGTTAGCACAAAGCGTGGGCAAGAAAATGGCGACGGAAAAAACCAACAAACACACACAAACATATGCTATCATACACATATTATACATACACACCAATTTAAAGACCCCCACATTTTTCATTAACTTATATACATATATTGTATTACTTACATTATTCCTTCAATTTTGATTTCCTCGGATTGTTCGTCTGGATCAATAAAAAGCGATTTCCTCGAACGTCTGGACAAATCAGTAGTTGGCTTGTCTGCTGGGAGTGCTTCGTCGACTGATCTGGATGTTTCGTATCGAGTTGACGATATATGAAACGCACGCTGTGCCTGCTGGGAGCAACTAGATGATACTCTGGATGTGGGTACTGTTGACTCCTGGCTGGACGGGCTCCCTTGGAACTGCTGTGGGTGTTCTCTGCAGAGCAAAGCACGACTGCTGCTGGTTGTTCTGTTGGTCGAACAAAAAAGAAAATGGCGACTTTGCGTTATACATTTTTCCACGTTCCGTGGTGAAATCAATAAATTGCGCCAACTGCAGGCGGGAAACACTGCAGATTCGCACGATTTACGAGTTACGTATTGCACTAATTTTAACATATTTTACTAAGCTTCTAAATATGTATATTTAATACTATTAATTTTCACTTATTATGCATCTAACTCGTGCAAGCAGATGCGCGCGTGTTCTTACCTAACCTCGTCCAAAATGGAAATGAAAGACGATGATTTCTTGCTTGCGATATTGCAGCAATAAACTATCGGCAGCCACCAAACTGGCTCACGAACGAGGGTTGCTATCGCGCTATCGATATTTTCGTCGACTATTGTGCGCGCCAAACACATTTGTATGTACTCTTTTCATTGCAATTAAATTCATTATGCAACTATAAATGACAAGTAGCATACATTTAAATGTGTTTTGTTTTTTTATTTTGTGTACTATATTTATTAATACAATAAGATAAACAGTATATACATGCACCAGAGACTACTAAAATAGAGCGCCATCTATTGGGTCTTGCAAAACTGTAAGGGAATATAAAATACCATTTAACAGTACGGCAACGTCATGGACTTGAAAAGCGTGAAAGGCGCGCCATTCTGTGTATATTTATACTTTAAAATCAATGTAATTCGAATAACAAAAAAGTCTAAGATCTACAAACTAAAATTCTTTCAACTGAGTGCTGATGACAGCCTAAAAAGTCATTGATCTTTAAATACGCATAAACACCTGTTCGTGCCACCAGCTGATCTACGATATTCGAGCGAATTTCTAGATACATATTCTTACGATATATGTATGTAAATGTATACAAATTACCTTGTTACACGTACCAAATTAATATCTGTTTGGTAGAAAATCTCATATATATATACATTTGTTACAGGATAACTTTCTGGCTGTCATTCTAGAGTGGATTGATTACACAGTACTCGATCAGTTATGCCAGTGGTTATGCTTCCACTGAATATTGATCAAATTAGAGTAAAACGATGCCTGCCTCTACTTATGGAATGCTATTTGACAATCCTTATGCATACTGTCCAATTTTAAAGGATCGGTTTAACATTTTTTCAATAATCATACTATTTCAATAAGACCACTAACCATAGATCGTTAGTGATAGTACCAATATATATTTTATGATTGCATTAGCTTTTTGCTGTTTACTGACAGCGCCATCTATTGGACTTTGTAAAACTCAAACAACAGTGATGCAGCGCCATTCAGAGACAGTTATTTTAAATGTTAAGAGTGCTCGCCAAATCGTGATATAATTTATTAAATAAGTAAATCAATGTGATTCAAATAACAATAAATAGTTCAACGCTTACAAACCTAGCAAATGACAAAAGCTTTTATACATTTTGGCACGTCGACCCTTCAAACAGCCGTACAAATCGTTTATCTTCAAGCAGTCAATTTTACTTATCGTCTTCCGCTGACCGATTCTCACGCCCGGCTGCAGCGGCGTCATCGTAGGCTTCTCTCCTTTCTTTTTGCTGAAATAGTACTCTCCGTAGTGCATCACCGAGTTGTAGTCGTAGTCGAAAGCATATTTGCCCCGCTTGCGCGAGACAAGTTTGAAATTCTTCTTGAACCGCGGCACAATGTTGTCCCAGTGAATCTTGACGAAGTTGTCCCGATCAGCACGGGACTGCTCATGATAGATGCCAATGGCGTGCATGAGCTCGTGCATAATACGGCCCTCGCTGCTGAAGCAGTGGGCGCTCGTCTCATCGGGCTGCTGCAGGGCGACCACTTGCTCCCCGCCCCGCTTGCCGACATACGACCAACAGCCCTGCGGCCCATCCTCGGGTGGCTCAATGAGCAGATAATCCTCCACCTCGCCATCGTATGGCGTAAACCGGATGCAGGTGAGCGAATTAAATGTCTTCAGAGCCCTCACTATCAAATCACGCTCTCTGTTGTCATACCGCGGACTTATCTCAAAGGGTATCGTGCCATTGGGCCACAAGCGCTTGGGATGCCGCATGGGATTCACGCCCAGACGCAGCGTGATGTATGTATACGGATCTATGGCAATGTCGCCTTGAAACAAACGCGGCATTGTCTCCGGATCATCAATGCCCAGATCATCGTTTCCAATATCCGGACCGAATGGATCAAAATCATCTGAAGAAGAGGGTGAGAGAGAGAGGGGGGTAGAGGCTGAGTATGAGGAACAGCTGGAATTGTTACACTAGACGCACCTGCCGACACGCTGGTGAACTCATGCTCAAACAAATCCACACCAGCTGGATAAGATTGGAGATGCTGCTGCTGGTTAACGCTTTCTCTGCCCGGCGCCGCCGTCGAGGCGGGCGACAGCCGCAGCAGCAGCAGCAACAGCAGCGGCAGCGGTGGCCAAACTAAGTCTTCACACATTATAAATAAGCTTTGATATCCACTTTGTTATAAATATTTGCTTTTGCTTTTGTTTGCCTTCGCTTAGTGAGACGCCATGCGAGTGGCCCAAGCTCCAAGCCGAACCGAACCGTTCCACAGAAAGACGCCAACTAAACTGGCCAACGGCTATCGCAGCCATTGAGCCACTCGACTTGTATTTAATTTATGCAGAATGTGCGAAAATAAAAACTAAATAATGTTGAGCATCCGGCGTCGACGTCGACGTCGGCAGCGGCGTCGTCGTCCAAATCCAAAAATCTATCAGCTGATATATGAGCGCGTCCAATGCGGATTGCAGGTGGCTCAGCGGCTCACCTGTCCGATCGACTGGACGACTCTTGTAATTTAATGCCGCAATGGGAAAGAGGTGCTGATGGGCAAGTGAATGGCCTACGTTTCCATTATACTCTACAAATTGTGGATGTTAAACTTATATGAGTGGCTTTGTGTATCCATATATGTAGAATAATATATCATGTTTTATCTAAATTGTTGGCTGTAATAGTAATTGCAATACACTTACTTTATGGGTATGATAGTTGTTTGAGTGTGTTTGTCTATGTGGAGAGATGGGCATGAGTTTAGAGCATGTTCATTGTGTAACTGTAAAAAAGACTTTCTCTTGTTAATATCTATCTTTTGTTCTCATATTTTTATAGAGTGTATTCAGATATTCAGCAATAATATTTAGTAATATTAAACGTTATCGATACGATTTAGCTGCCCTACTCATCTGACGTCATTCGATATGATATTAAGCGAAATTCACTCTTTGTAGAAATTCCACGGAGTTAGAGCATTTTTTTTTATTCATTTATTCATTTTTTATTTTGATAACATTTTCAACATTTTGTACTTATAGATAGGGTATATAAAGACTCAGTTCATTTAACTTGATGGAATTTTCATTGGCGAAGCTTAAATTTTATAAACTAGAAGAAATTAATTTTTTCTTCTTAAAAAATTTATTGTTTATTCATATATGTATTAGTTTTTTTTTTTTTTATTTCATTATTCATACACTTCCATTTCTTCTGCAACATACAACAAGCTTAGACCACACAAATATTTTAAATAAATATCTATAACGAAGTTATTTGCTATTTAGTGAAGTTTTAAATCTATAAAATATTACTTACTTAACTATTACACAAATTTTTATATAAATATACACATATATCACATATGTATATAAATCTCAAAAGTCTTGGTATATTCAATCAAAAAACTTTAAAATTTTTACACGAAACCAGATCTAAAACGTAGCTTTCTATTCGTGAGTGTATTACATTAGTCTTCTATGATTTATGTCAATTTACTTGGCTGTTGTTGTTGCTGTTGTTTGTTGTCGCTGGTCAGGTTTACGTCTTAATGTTATAAATAAACAAATTTCGCAAAATTGATTTCGACGTCCGGAGGCCCGGCACGCTGCATTTCGTAAACGTTTTCGGCTGTTGTGTTAGTTGTCTGTTTGCTATCCAAAAGTTGTTGTTGTCTGTTGTTGTTGTCCGTTGTTGTTGTTGGTTTTAGTTGTTGCTTATGTGACACCAAAGAGCAACATTTGGGCCAGCACTTAAACTCAGCTGCCTAGGGGTCAGTTCATTTCAGTTGTAGATCAAAAGATATGTGAATGATATACATATATGTATGTATATAAACTCTGTGTGTGCGTGTGTTTATATATACCCTATAGGTTGTCTTAGACTAATCTGTAAGCTGGTGTCTATCTCCCTACATCTTGGGGCTTTAATTGTTTTCATAGCAGCACTTGGCAATGCATTTTAATCGCTCAGCATTAATTAGTACTTGCAACTTAATTAGCAAGACAACAATAACATATACAGCCACAGCAACAACAACAACTTCATCATGATAATTTTGAAATTTAAATTCATCTATGACAGGTGAGTGGAAAGGTGTGAGTTGTGAATTGGTGAATGAATAAATCATTTTACATTTCAATTAGTTTCGAACATCCAATTACGTAAAACTGTCATAGATATCGATGGATCTAACTACCAATTTCGGGTAGCTAATAGATTGTCTGGCTATGCATTTCATCATGATATCTTACTTATGTGAGCTATACAGAAATATAAGCTGCATTAATGTTTCTCAACAGTTGTAGACTAATTATTTAGTATTTGTCTTTTAGATAATTAATTAATTATACAAGCTAATCTTATATACGTACAGAGTATATCGTAGTCCAGAGTTTTAGGCAGTAGTAGAATAAGTATATAAAGAATATCTTCCTAAAGCTATCATGTCTTTCGAGCTGACAAAAAAAAAAAAAAAAGAGTTGATATATTTTGATTGAAGCAGTTAAGGATAATACCTAGGATAACTAGGCGTACCCTACTACTAGATGTACCCTAAACCCTAGATACTTAAGTCATTCAGAATATTCTTTCTTACGTTAATCTCTGTTACCCCGTAAAGAATCAATTGGGTAGATAGTTCTCACTTTCTAGATGCCTGAAGCATGAAACAAAAATTAATCTCTAAAAAGAGATTATTCCATGAGTCGATCATATGACATTATATTTAATCAGATTTTTATTTTCATTTATATACCTCAATTATATAATATTACTATTATTATATCTTTTTATGTACACTAATTGCAGGGTATATCAAATGCGATCACAACCAATCGTAAGCCTGTATATCTGTCACATAGAAACTAGAGTTTCGT